AATTTCATTGCATATCTCCTCGATTATCAAATATTCAGTTTTTAAACAATATTTCGATTGATTTGCCATTAACAAAAAAAAAAATTGGAATTATTTAAATAAAAAAAAAATGAATGATGCCGGGATTGAACCCCGGCCGCCGGCGTGCGAGTCGAACACGTTACCACTAGGACAACGCGCTTATTTAAAATTATAAATTCATTAGTGGTATATCTTCAACATATTGAATAATTTTTTCCATTGAAATTCCACAAGATGTGGTTTCCCCCTTCCCCACGTTCAACAGTTGGCTAAATTTCAGTTAAACAAATAAAAAAAAAAGCATTCATACCGCAGAAAATAAAATTCACCCCGTCGACTTCATGGACACCCCAGCATTGCAATAAAAACATGGTTAATAAAAAAAAACACCCCCGCATTGCGTGTGGTGCCCTCCCTCTCTTGGGGTGCAGTACTACGATGCACCTGGGGTCACTCAAACCCCCACAGCTGAACCTCTACTTTAGTCCATCCTCTTTGGATGTACTGATGAAGAAATGTATGGATATTAAGGGGGAGGTGGAGGAATAATTAATTTTCTGAGAAAATCATTAGGTCCTCTGGGAAACATTTCTACGAATCTTGATTTTATGATTTACACACAAAAATATATAAAATTAATGCTTCATCTACCATTCTATATATTTTCCAAGTGAGTAAAATTGAAAATATGACGTATATTCCCGTTTAAAAATTATATATTTGATATATTCTTGGATGGAGGGTCCCTGCAGACTTCGTACCTTGCCTGCTTCGATTTTTGCAAGAAAAGAAAACGATGACAATCGATTGGACATTGTCTGAACAATGCACTGAATTTTTTTGCTGCCTAAGAGTCAGTGCCCCCTGAAAAATCTGGGTCAAATGACTTTTGTCGAGGTGTTTTGAAGGAAAATAGAGTGAAAAAGGTCATGACTCTCCTGAGGAATCCGAGAATCTAGCAACAGTGTCCCACTAAAATCCCCCCACATCCCCAATACCCCCAGAATTATCAATCAGTGTGACATACACAATTTCAGCGACAGTGGCGCAGTCACTTGTAGTTTAAAGAAACCCAACATGGCAGCCCGATCGAAAACAACTCGATGCAACTTCCATTGAAGTGACAAAGCATAAGACCCAGACAATCCCCCAAATAGCCATCAAAAAATAAAAACCCAGGCCCTCTCGACAATCCAATCAATAATGTGAAAACAATCGTCGGAGGGTGATGGAGAGATAACGCTTGAGGTATTTTCAGTGTTCGAGAGTGGAAAAAAAAAAGTTCTGAGAATTTTTGTATACTTTGAGCCTCGTATACTCCAGGTAATACACGACTGAAATTTCCGTCGTCCAATTGGGCCCCACGGCACTCCAGCAACGTTCAAATTTCGTAACGGTCGTTCTCCGAGCCACGCAGAATACGTTTGACAGGTATTTAACATAACAGAGGTTTTTTCGGAGAATTATTTCGTGTACGTTGTTTGCCGGGGGTAGTTGATTCTTCGGTGGAATTTTTTTTTTGTCAAATTGGAGCATTCGTACTCACGTTTGTGGAGGTGAATTGTTAATTGATGCGTCCACAATATTTTACATAATAAAAAGAAAAAAGGCAATTTATCGCACTTTTTTTTATTTTATCTTGGAAATTTCGGGTTACCCCTTCAGTTTTTAGACTTTGGAGGATTCTAGTAATTGCGTTTTTTTTCTTTTCGATTTAATTCTGGTGTTTTTTTTTGTTTACAGAAGTTTTTATCTACAGAGATGATGGAGGACTGCAATGAGGTGTTGGTCTGCGCCACCGAATTTCTTAAGGGTTTGTATGATTTTTAGTATTTTTTAAAGAATTTTTTTGGGGCTTATCTGAAGTCTCGGTGGAGGTCAGGAATTCCGAGGAAGTCTTTGGGAGGAATTAGTTAAGTCCGAGGTTAGTGTAGGCGGACGATGTCGAAGGGAGTGTCAAGGACTGTTCGAATTGCGTTTAGCATCAATAGATATTTCATTTGTATCAGCAATTACGTGGACGAGCCTTAGAAAAATTGTAATTTCACAATTGAGAGATTTGCGCATTGAAAACCTTGCTAATCAGTCTGTGAAATCTCAGGCTTCATTCATTATTTTCTTTAGTAAATATAACGTGAAAAATAACAGGAAATTATCGAGAGGAATGAATCTAGGGCAAATGATCTTGTCCTTCGATATGGGAATTACTGATTACCATGCCCTAATATTTTCTTATCATTATTTCAGATCGTTTCTACCTTGTCACCCTGCAAACTGATATCAAACCCAAAAGTACCACAGACACGCACTACTTTAGTATTGACGATGAATTGGTATACGAGAATTTTTACGCCGACTTTGGGCCACTCAATCTCGCAATGCTGTACAGATACTGCGATACAGTTAACAAGAAACTGAGAGCTATTGCCTTAAGTAAGAAGAAAATTCTTCATTACACAACTACAGATCCAGAGAAGAGGGTCAATGCTGCATTTTTAGCTGGCAGTTTTGCTGTGAGTGTTGATCATGGGAAAATTATTTTCTTTTGGTGGACAATGGCCTCGGTCTGGTCATCGTCATTTATTAATTCCATTCATAATTGTTTTTTCAGATACTGTACTTGAAGAAGACAGCCCAAGAGGCCTACGAGTTGCTGATGAACAGTCCCCACAGTCCACCATATCAAATGTTTCGTGATGCCTCATTCGGACCTGCATGTTTTCAAATATCTCTGAGAGATTGTCTGAGTGCTATTCACAAATGTCATCGTCTCGGCTTCTTCAACTTTGATGACTTCAATCCCAAGGAGTACGAGCATTTCGAGAGAGTTGAGAATGGGGATCTCAATTGGATTGTACCGGAGAAATTTATTGCCTTCTGTGGACCACACGCTAAATTGAATAATGAAAATGGTAATTACTCGTTGAAATAAAAAAATTAGGAACCGTCCAGGGAGACTGTAATTTTCGAATTTATTATCGATGCCAATTGATAATTTTATCATCTTATCTAAATTAAATTATCAATTTATTAACGATAATAATTATTTTCATTGCTGAAAAAAAAATTTATCAAATTGCAATTCTTCATATTTCAGGATATCCATTGCATGCACCAGAGTCATATTTCTCGTACTTTCAACGGAATAATGTGACGACGATCGTGAGATTGAATCAGAAGATCTACGAGGCAACGAGATTCACTGAGGCCGGTTTTGATCACAAGGATCTGTTCTTCGCTGACGGATCGACTCCCACTGACTCGATCGTACGTCAGTTCTTGAAGATATCGGAGAACAATCCAGGGGCCATCGCAGTTCATTGCAAAGCTGGCCTTGGGAGGACAGGATCGTTGATAGGGTGTTACATAATGAAACATTACCATCTGTCATCTCATGAAACCATTGCATGGATCAGAATATGCAGGCCTGGCTCTGTTATCGGTCATCAGCAGAGATGGCTCGAAGATAAAGAGAAATATCTCCACTCATTGATAAAAAACCCGTTGAGGGCTGAGAATGGAAATCCTCCTCATCCCTTTGGAATTTACTCGAGAATCGGACGACCGAATGCTTTCTCGGCTGTGCCGAGGTGTCCTAATTTGGGACAGGATAATGTCTCTGGTATATTACACCGAGTCGATGGCATTCGTCTGGACGATACGTCATCCCCAACGACGAGTACCAGTGTTCCTCAAAAATTCGCGTGCATGACGCAGGGAGACAAATTGAATGAAATAAAAATACGTAGACGACGTGCCGGTAGTAATTTTTACGTGGAAAATTCAATAGGACAGCCTGCGGTTGTACTGTAAGTATATTATTATTTTGAGTCGTTATTATCACATTTTTTTTTTACATCACTTTGGCAATTTGCTGAGGAGATAATTGATTCATTTGAATTTCATTTTATTATTCAATTATCTCTTCATCGATGTATCAAGCACTAATTCAATTAACAAAATCCAAGGAACAAAACCAAAACCAAATATTTCAGTCCGAACTTGGGACTTTTACTGCAATCAAGAAGTCAGAAAGGCGGGATATCACCTTTAGTTGGATCCAAGAAGGATACCAATAAGCGTCTCCTAGCGCGTTCAACCACAACGACACTCGTTAAAAGGTCCGTTCTTTAATAACACTCATTATCACCTCATCATCATGTGTTCTCATTTGTGCTGTTGCATGTAATATAATTGTTATCCAACCCAAAAATTCCTGGGGGTGCATGTGGGCCTTATGCATCATTTTTGGCTACATAATTTTTTTCGCATTGTAGAAAAATTCCAGAAGCTCCAGGAGAATTTTAATTTTAATTTCCTTTATTCTATTAAGGTGTTATCTCCAAAATTGTGGCAATTCAATAAGTCAAGTGAACTTTTATCGTAGCATTTCATCGCAGAATGATATGATTGTCGTGAGAATCCGCAGAGATGTACCGCGGTATTTGAATTTTAATTTTGCAATTAATAACTGCAGAAATCCAAGGCGAGTGACTGGAAATTGCAAACCATCCCCTTGCTCGAGGCCTAAAACAGCGAGTCAAATGGCTCTGGATATTGTATGGTCGAAAACAAAAAGTCCAGCTGCTTCGAAGTCTATGGGTGTGACCAAACCAGTAACGAGATCGAACGTGAGGGAGACGTGTTTGGGAGACAATCGTGCTGCAACATCATCAACGAGCAGTCATCCTCTTCAGCAGTCACAATCTGGCATGAATATGGTTCTCAGATCAGCAGATCGAGTCAGTCGATATAATTCGTTGAGGCAGTAAGTTATTCTATCAAATTTTCATTGGGTTCTTTCCATCGTCGCATTCAATTAATTAATCAAACGGTTTTAAAACATTCATCGGATATTAATTCTGAAGTAGTTGTGGCATGATTGCATGGAGGGAATTATTAATATTTGAGAAGTTAAGTTGGATAATTATTAATTATACCCAAGAAAATGAAAAGAAATACGTTTTAACCTGTGGCTATTAATAAATGATATTTATTTTTTGTAAATAAATAATTCACTGAACTTGTCCGAAAAAAACAATTGGAATTTTTTTTATGACAATTTGTAAAATGAATGGCGCAATTCTCAATAATGTCCAGCTTAATTACTCGATTATTAATGTAAATTTAGCACTGGAGGGCTAACGAACAAAGAAGAAAATCCATACGGCGTTTTGCTTTTGTGACTTGCAGTGCGCGCACGACAATAAGTTCGAAAACAGCATTTATCAGATGATTAACCGATATTCTTAGTGGTGTTGGGGCTGAGGCTAGCATCACCCGTACATCGAGACAACGGAGAAGATCACACCGTTTAAACCCCATCGTACAATGAGAGAATATCGACCAGAGGCTTTTTAAAAACATTTCATTTGTGGTATCAAACAGCTAACACCAATCAACACGAAAAATGGCTTATCAATTTTCAGTGTCTAATGCATTACACACCGATGTGATAACAATACACGTAATTATCGGGGGTAAAAGACTTCAACCGAATACATAATAATGTATCTAATTTTAATAATTATACCCCTTTTTTTTTATTATTTTCAAATTTTTATAGAATCATCGCTGTAAAGTAGTTTGTATCAAATTAGTGGCGGCTAATATTCTTATAATATTAATATTCTGAATTATGTATATAGAGTTATCATGTGGTAGCACAAGAAATTTTTGGGGTTGATAATGGATATTCATATTTTAGGTGAAGCCCCTTCGCTGCTCTTGCAGTTTTTCAATGTATTCAGATATTTTTTTTTTGTAAATCTTCGGAGGATATTTGCAATCATTTGTGATTAAATATTCAAGGAAATATTTTTTAATGGAATCGATGATTTGTTGGTAGGGATTAGGAGATCCTGTCTTTTAAAAATGTGATCAAGTTTCGGACATAATCAAAAGAATATTATCGATCATTAAAATCGTATAGTCTAATTGATATTGGAGAAAAGCTCAAAGGTACAAGTTCGATGGATATTCAACAATTAGTCGTTACTTTTTAATTTTATACAAAGAAAATTGGTTGGCAAAGTCCTGGGATCTCCTTGAGTATAAATAATTGTGATATAAAATAATGGAATCAATAATACATCACAAATGATGCATCTATCACTTTTTTTTCGACTAAATTCACTGACTTTAGACAGAATAGAATTAGGTTTTTGTTGATCAATGGTGCGTGTACATTATATATAAGTATTATACATAATACCGACATAAAAATTGAGTACTTGCACATTCTTATTAATGAAGGACGACCCGAGGTCCGTCTAATTGTCACTTAATGTATTCACAGTATTTTAGTAAAGAGTAAAAGCATTTTCTGAAGTTTTCACGAATGTATAGAATGTTACGTATTCGTAAATGTAGAGATCATTGTCGAGGCACATTTAAATAACACATTTTTGAAGGATATGTATGGCGAATCATGGATTTTAATGAATTGTACATGTTTTTAAGAAAATTGTACGGTGCAACAGAAATTTTTAGACACCACCGAATCTCTTATGTATATTCTCTGTTAACATTTTGTCAATTTTAATATGAAATAAAATCATTACCCAGATGGGTAATAATGGCAATACTAATTATTTCGTTTGTCTCATGCTTTTTAAAAATATTTTTCATCAATTTCCACCTCAAAAAATCATAAATGAAATCGTTGGGTCGGTTGTACATTTTTTTTTCGCCTTCGCATTTCCAAAAAGCAAATCGTCTCGAGTGTTGAAAGAAATAACTAGTCCAAATGTATACAAAAAATGTAATTTATTCTCAATTCATTAATTACAAAATCTTTTTACAAATAGAAAAATATAAAAATGTCATGGATTCATTGACATTGAATTTCTGACAGGAATAAATAATCAGATGACTTGGATCCACCACTTGACTATTGGTACTATTTAATAATCTCGTAATTGTTCTCGTGCATTAATGACTCATCTACAACCCCATAAAGAATCAGAAAGAAAAATTTACCTGAGTAAAAAATACACAACATAAGTAGCCAATGCAACCCAGTGACTGGCGAATCCCAGCTGTGACCACTTTTCGATGGTGTGGCTGTAGCTGTAGCCAGTCTCCTGCAGATCCGAAGTATCGAACATCAGTCCTAAATAAGCTAAATGGAAGACCGATAATACTGAAAATCCGAGGTTCGCGACAATGACCCAGTAACAGTTCTGAGAATTTTTTTTATGACAGCATTTCTCAGTTGGGCATCGTTTCGCTGAGATGCACGCGTCAAACGCGTGGGCAAGAATATTCCTCAATTGGAATTCGACGTACGTGTAGAACCCCAGGCTAAGGAGAACAGCAGCTAGTTGGAAATTTAATCCGTGGAGAAGGGCACTGGTCAAGTACGTGAGTGTCACTGCACTAAATTTCCCTATGCGCTTTGTCGCTGGTCTAAATATATCTGCAAAGAAAATTAAATTGATGGAAATTTTTCTTTTTTTTGGAGATCAAATTCGCTGGAAGTTGTAAAATCCGAGAGGTGGGATTTAATATTTTTAAAATCGATTTTCCCACTTTGGTATTTAATTATTGATGCAGAAAATGTCTCACATAATTTCAACCACGTGTGCATGGGAATATTCCACGAGACAACGACCTGCACCAGTGATCTGGGAATCTCAATATCCACAGGTTTAACAATTGTCGTGAGGGACGATGGATATCCACCGAGTAATAAAACACTCGAAGAGGCATAACAGATGAAGTAATGAGAAGTCCTGAAAGACAATGCGTCTCGATATGCCAGGATCCACCTGCGAACAATTCAAATAAAAAACGTCGAATGAGACCTCGAATAATTTGTAAGTTTGAAAATCTCACTCACTTCGTTGAACTATCAGCCAGTAGCCACCCACCCCAACAATTCGAAACACTCAGGAATATGAGGGAAACAGTATAATGTTTAATAATGTGAATAATCCATTCCAAACTCTGGAAAAAACACAAAACATAGAATAAAGGAAATTAAATTATTCATTACGTCTGCACCTGAGTGGTGCCCTTTCGGTATTTAATTATTCTTGATAAATGATGACCTTAAAAATATTTTCAACTCACTAACGATGACCTTTCGTTGTCCAACAATCCAATGTAATCCTTGAAGCTGACCCAGGGGCCAAATAAACACGTTGCAGCCCCGAACAAATACCCGGGGTACTGCCAGATATTCGGAAAATCATTATTATTCGATTTATCGAGGGAGACACTGACAGCTTTCATCGCCGCAATCATCATGACACTCCGGACTTTGTGCCAGGCTGTGGGCTCCATAGTATATTCACAGTACAAAATTATTAAAAGACTAGTAACAAAAACCTCCCAACCCCTTTGGTATCGACGAGGTAAACACAAACAGCCGTAAGATAATACTGCATAGGTGAGTAATAAATACAGGCATTCAGGCACATAATGCTGGACTGTGAAGATTCCAATTGCAATAGACAGTACGTGAAACAAGTGATGTGGCAGTTTTCCTGGAAAAATTAATATTTCACTTCAATAATCGTAATTAAAGGAGAGAACGAAATAAGCCGGCTTGCCTCTTCATTCAATTTTTCGGAAATATCTCGGGAATAAGGGGAGATAGGAAATTCATGATCTAAATCTTTTTTGTAGAGTTTACTGAGAACTGGGGAAAATGTCATTATGAAGATTTTATTATTTGGAGTAGTTCCCGAGATATTTCGGAAAAACTCGGTGGAGAGTTGAGTTAATGGATAGGGAGCACTTACTGATGAGTATAATCTGAGTTAAAAAATTGAAAGCTAATGATGACAGTAATAAAGGACTCAAGTACTTGACAGTCTCAAAAACACTTGGCACAATGCAATTATCATAAACATCTCTCAATGTGTCAACATTTATGTCTTCGTACTCATAATCGTACTCGAACATCTGTTGATCGCAGTCTTCACAATCCGTCTCCTCGGTGTAAAACGGTGAGTCGAATTTTTCACTGTACATTCTTAATTTATTTTGTTAATACGTGATTTTGGATGTTTTTTTCAAATTAATAAATGGAATCGGCCGGAGGTTATTCTCACACTTGTGTTTACAAGCCGAACTCGCCGATTAGTCCCTAGGTGTTGAACCATCATGTATCGATATTTTAACAAATCGATATTTGGTATCCATGCAATTTTTTATCGAAATTTTTCTCGTCTGATAATCGGGATATACCGATTTTTGACAGCGCAGCCATACATTTTTTTTGTATCGAGAACTGAAAAAGACCGGTTCTTACAAATCGATTCTTTTGTATCGATATGGACCTCTTCACTTCGATTCGATTATCAGTATCGATATTCATCATTTTTACTGCCTAGGATTAAAAAAATAATTTGGTAAGTCGATCCTTTTATCGATATGGACCTTTTCCTTTCGACTTGATACAACTACAATCGAAATACAAGTATTCATTATACCATTATTCCCCAGAAATACCGGCCTGTAGATAAATCATAACGAAGAGTGGGAAGAATCGTCGGTTGTGGAGTGCCTTAAAAAGCACCTCTCATTTTCTCCTCCACCCCCTAGCCTACCCCACCCGCGTAAAAATCATCGCCAAACTTCAGAGTGCGTGCGCTGCACGTAGAAAATGGTTGACGCACCTTGGTATCCCGTCGGCAGTCCCTAAATAATAATAATAATTCTCCCAGTGAAGCAAAAAGTGTTATCCCGAGAATAGTTAAACCACCGATTAATCAGCCAGGCGTGTGACAATGTCAGTGTAATTTCCAATAACTCAGTACTCCTCAGAACCATCTGTTTGCGGTTCTACTCCTGTTGGAAAGGGGGGGGGGGGGGGAGGGTATGTACCAACTACCTGTTCTACTCCGCAAGCAAATAATTGCCGAATAAATAATGACAAACCCCCGGTAATTAACGGGTGAATGAGAAAAAAAAATGGAGAAAAGAGGAATAAATTGATATTATCTTACGGGAGTATTCAGTTTGCAATGTGCAGGTGATGTGCATTGAAAATTCAATTGTTGGAGAAGCTACCTGTCATTGGAGTTGATCGTGGCTTTCCCTGGCAACAAGTGTCGTTTTACCAACTCCGGAAACAATGACTTATCGACAATCGGGCCCACGCGATTCGTTAATTTCAGGTTCCAAGTCATTAGATTCGGATAATTGCTTTGCTCTGACCGTTTTTATTACTTTTTCCGCTAATTAAAGTCATTCTTGAGACCCCGGATCGGTGTGAAAACATTGTTTAATCCGTTTTTAGCAAGTTGTTAATTTTTATTAATTCGGCATTTATCCAGTGGAAATTTCATAACACAGAAAATTGGGGATTCACTGAAATAAAATGAATTTCATTTAATTGCGCTTTGTTTTCAATTTTTATTGTCAAATTGTGAATTTCTAGGAATTATTTTAGTGATTGGGTATTTTTCCAGTGAATATTTAAAAATATTTTTGGAAATTGAATAGTAATTAATTGTAGAATGACATCGTTTAGTGATTTCAACTCATTTGGAATTTTTTTTTTCAATAAAATTCGAGTTGTCAATATCAAGAAAAATATTTCATTTTAAATTCATTATATTTTCAGTTTTTCACTGATTAAATATTAAAAAACTGTGGAAAAAATTAACGGACACGATGGAGAAACGGCAGGATGGGCTGGCTCCGTTTTCCTCTGGTGAGTTTTTCTTTCATTATTCCAAAAATCCAGTTTATCCTTTTTTGTGATTTTTTCCTCATTGAAAAAATGGTAATTCAGAGTTTTTTATTATTTCTGAGGGAGGAAAAATCAAAGGAAAATTTTTCCGGAAGTTTAAGTGCAAATCCAGGTTTTCCTATATTTTTTCATGATTTTTTTTATTGTAAAAAATCGTAATTTGGGGGTTTTTTCAATTTTTGGAGGAGGAAAAATCAAGGAGAAATTATTTCGGGAGGTTTAGGGCTGGTCCAAGGATTTCCCAGAATGGGGTGGGGTTGGGTGGTTCGGGGTCGCTCTTCACTGCCCTGTGCAATGCTGGAGGGGTTGCAAATACCCGAGAGGGGGTGTAGTATTGCTGTGTGTGTTCGAGGTCGTGGATCAATTCGGTATTGTCAAGTTTTTTTTTCATTTCCCCTTCGAATGGCTGAAAGCAACAGTTCTTACTCGGTTTTATCAGCAACGAGGTAATTGTTGGCAGTATTTATTTTGGGGAGAGAGGGGGGAGCAGTGATAAGAGGTTGCTATGGTAGAGAATTTTTGAGGAGATTTTTAATGAAGGATTTTAGTGCGTACGGAGAAAAATCGTTTTTCTTTGGTGAAAAAACGTGCGGTATTCGCGATAATTTTCACTTTACAGAAAAATTTCTGGGAACTTTTTTGTTGGAAATTCAAATCCCCACGAGAAAGTCAGTTAGAAAAAAATTGCTATCTCCGCTGTACTCGAAGATATGTCCAAAAAACGGAATTAAATCCTGCAGTGGCTCGATGACCTACAACATTTGACTTGGCGCCAATTATTGATGAATATCTTCTAAACAAAAGGAGATACCAAAAATTTCATATAAATCCTTTTTCCACTACACATTACGTTCTACAAAAAAGGTGTTAATGAAAATTCATGCATCTCTCTTCATTTACAAGATATTCAGTGATAACGGAGCCTAGGTGAAGTGCGCTTATTCTGGTTCAGGACAAATTTGGAATCAATTGATCTGGTCTCGCTGGTTCGTCGATGAATTAAATTAATTCTTGATAAATCAATAGAAAGCAAATGTACTCGACGTAGAATGACGACTGATTAAATAAGAGGTGATTTAATTAGCCACCAATGACACGTGCCTTTCATCAGGGAAAATAATAATCAAAATGTTGAGAATCTCGATAACGATTCAACTTCCCACTGAATGCGTCAAAGTGACCTGGTTTCTCATTGTAGATACTTCCACTCTGTTAATACGAAAATACTTGATAGACGTTGTACCTATACACTGCAATTGTTCCCTTGTTTTCCATCCCCGAAGCAAAATGCGAGAGTATCGGAAAAAGACCGAGAGTGTAATCAGAATCACAACGCCAGTACAAAGGATTAATCATGCAGCACTCGCTGAATTTCCGCTTTGATCTCTTTTCGATAAATTTCATCCAAGAATTGAGTGAAGATTTGAATATATTTTCATCAGAAAGCCAAAGGATTTTCCGGCGAAAAATACTGGCTTCCATTTCAATCCTCTGTGAGGAGGTGCAATGAAACATTCAAGAGGGAAGTGATAAAACTGAATAGATCGACTGGAAGTCACGGCCTTTTATGAATATCTCGGAATTTCGATTTCAAACTCGATAATCCCCTCCTTTCCTCTGATATTCAGGGGCTTGTCAGCAGATCTGGTGCTTGACAATTGATTATTTCGTGGAGAGAAAGAGACGAGTCCTCCCTGGGGAATAGAGACGTTTTCAAGGTGCAAAACATTCTCTTGTCGTACCTCCAATAACTAGAGCAGATAAATGGGTCGTCAGGGTGACTTTGCCACCGGAAATTTCCCCAGCTGTTTTACTACAATATCTCAAGTCTCTTTTCTTTATTATCAACTTCCTCGAGAGCGGAAGAGAGATATCTCCGAGTTGTCTCATTTTCCAGACAAATTTTTTGTGATTATTTCAAGATTTTTATACTCTTTCCACCAAAATTCCCGTTGTTGTAATTTTTCTGGAAGATTTACACTGGAATTAAATTACTTGTAGGTAAAATTGTTATATAAAATTGATCTGCTGTCAACAGTTATTATGATAATTTCCAGATGAATGTCCAAACAGCGGTGAAGACAGTGACGAGGATGTAGTGACAGATTACCTGAACTCCGAGCAGACAGACTGCAGTAATGCATCAGCTGTGAATGGTGAACTTGTCTCGACAATTGATGGAACTAATCACCAAACAGCTGATTATACCAAAGATAGCAAGTTGGATGTAGCAATGGCCGAGGGAAGTGATGAGCGTCGCAATCCCCAGAGTCTGGGTATCACGAGAAATCAGCAGAATCCTCTGGTACCAACGATCAGTGTAACTCCACACTCACCAGGATTGGCCAAGCACTACCCAGTCCTGGAGGACAATCTCCAGCAGTTGAATGAAATACACAGCAGTATCCAACGTATGCGTGATTTGACTCTCTGCACTGTTGGCTACAGGCTGCTGTCACAGTCGGACAATCTCCAGAGGTTGAGCTCATCTTGCCCATCGCTCTGTCCTCTGGGAAGAGCACCAACTGGTGACAGAGCTCCTGGCTCTGATCCCGATCTCGCCAATTGCTCCACCAACAGTTCGCCCACACATTTTCCACAGGGACAACTGCCTCCAGGTATGCTGGGGGTGGACAGGAGGAGGAGCTGGACTGATCTCGAGGAGAGCAGACAAAATCGACATCGGTGTGGGGTACAGAATCATCTCCAGGCACAGAATATGGTGATTTTTTTTTTCTCAATCCATATGAAGGCCAGTCCTTCTTGAGTTATTTATGTATCGAAAAAAAAAATTATTTTTACTTGATTTTTTTATTTTTGAACGTCATTCGTCAGAAGCTTGCGATTGGCCATCGCCCGAGGGCTGAGCCCTGGTATTTACATTTTATGCACCGGTGTATTGATTTTATTTTTATTTAGAATATTAACCACTTCCTTGTACTTTCGTTGTGTCTATTGATGTAAAATATTTTGCAAACTGCTGAAGACTTGATGCATCAGGTGGAAATATTGGATACATTTTTTTTTTGGAGCTCATTAAATTTATTAGCAGAACATCCTTTGATATTTCTTCCCATAATCAATAGTTTTCATATCCAACGACACAAGTGAAGACCGCAAGAATTGAAAATTGTCGAGGATATTGAGAGTCTGAAGGAGATTCTACCCTTTCGCGTGTAAAATCAATCGTGGTTGGTGTCGAGTAACCTCAGCCTTTTCCACACAATCAATTATTCATAAAATAGGGCATACGCCCAGGGGAGGCAAAATATTGAGGAAGTGGGAAAACGTCATAAATTTAAATCGACGATTTCGGGAATTTTGTATTCACATCTGCGTATAATGAGTAATTCGAAATGATGATTCATTTGTTTCCGAAATAATTCTATATTTGACGCAATTTAGGTTCGGTGAAAGATTTTTGCAGCAATCTCCAGTCTTTTATTAATCGATTTCCATTGCAAACCATCTGTCCTCCATATAAAAGCTTGCAGAAGCCAGATGAATGCCTCGGTTGTAGGAAAAATTGCACAGCGTATGGTTACAAACACCCGACGTATTCAAACAAATAATAATTCACGGAAAAATCGGATTTTTCCTCAATAAACCCTCTCCCCAGGGGAAAATCGGCTATACAATTTTTTCGGGGATTGATAAAAATAAAATAGCTTCTAACAAAAATGACTAATAGAGGAAAAGTGACGTTTCAGTGTTTAAAAACGGAAGCTTGTCTTTCCTGTTGTGCGTGCATATGTCTCATGCATTATGATTTCTCGTCTACCGACATTCAATCATCACTCGAGTGTAAAACTATCAATTAATTATGGGTGATGGTGATCCGTCGGGGTTTAACGGTGTATGCCAGACTCGTGAAATGGATCAGAATTATTTATTCAGTTCTGCAGAATGAAGAGGAAATTTCATTTCAACTGAAAATGGTGAAAATCAGATCTTTGAATTTTCAATCCCTCAGGATTAAATTTGTCTTCCAAATGGAAAAGATTGATCAATTAGTCTGGGATAGGGAGGGCGGACCTTCATGAAAATAAATTAATTAAAGAAGTTTACGTGATTTTCGCACAAATGTGGTCTGCAAGGAAAATTAATTGACTTATTCTGTTGAATTTCAGGAAAATTAGGGGTTTTTATGGGTGATGAGGGCGTAATTTTTAAATTCGTGTCATTATCAATATTTTACAACTTTCAGCGACAGCGGAGCATCAGCCTAAGTAGCCTTGACAGTGAAATGGACCTCGAAATTGATGGAAAATCAAGATCACCGTGTGCTAGTGTGGCAAATCGATCCTGCAGGTCTCAAACCAGCACTCACTCGCTCAATGAAGCTGATTTTGTTCAGGTGGGTTGATCATTTTCCCGATTCCAATTCATCAATTTTACTGATTAATTAATTATCCCCAAGTATGAGAGGAAAATGTATCACCAAAAAAATTTCAGATTGATCCACACAAGTCGGGGGTGAAACGAGTTAGCCAAAGACTAACAGAGACTGTGAACTTGTTGCCGGGAGTGACTGGATCACGTTTACCACTCCAGAAATCCATCTCGACTCCATCAATCATCGGACCACCAGGACAGGCTCCTCTGTGCGAGGGAACGAGAACAACACCTTCTCTAGCCACGTAAGTATGAAATAAATTCATCAGCAGATATTCTCGATATATCTATGCATTTGCTGTGCCTAATTCGCTATGATAAAAATTTTATATTCATTTTCTAAAAGGTAAACTCAGTAGTGAAGTGGTGAAACGAGTCCTTCAATAATTCTGGAGACTCGAATTTTTCAATGTAATTAAATACGTCTAGATCTCAAAATTTATTAATTTTCGGAGGAAATATCATGGGAATTTTTAATTGAATATTTTACGATCTACAAAAAAATGCTGTAAAGTTTCCACTCGACATCGATAGCTTCCGACATAAATCGATAATTGAGAAAACTTGGAAATTCAATTCGCCTCTATTGACGAGTTATCAACTGACCTAAAACCGTCCACTTCGCTACTGCATCTCAATTTAATCACTACTCCACATTATTTCGCACAACTAGAGTCTTTGGCATGCTCGTTTGCAAGCAAACAGAGTAAGAAACACGAAATTATTCACACAAATTATACCATAAAAAAATAATGAACGAGTAAAACTAGCCAGTGCTGTTGATTAAATGAACTGTCAAGTCTATTATTTATATCTGTACATTATTTTATTGAAATTAGTGAAAATAGTATGTATGTGATTTGTGTGTATTGCACTGAATTATTTTGCAACAATCGTGCATGACAGCAGAAGACACGAACGAAACGAGAAAGGTAGTGGAAGTGAAACTGAGACCGAGGATCCACTCCACAGTCATGCATATCATGGTGATATTATTCGTGAGGGTTCCCTCAATGCCCAAACCTCCCTCGACGAGCTCATGACCGAGTGAGTACATTAGATACCTCAATAATATTATTTTCATCGTGATGGAAGCGGTCAAATAAGCCACTCTGGAATTATTCCATATTTTTTCTTTCAACTCTCGATATTAGTGTTTAGGCTTTTGATCAGAATAATCAAGGCTTGATGCTTGCTATTTTTATCACTCCATTGAATTAATTGTTATGAATTTGTCGGGTACTGAGAGATATTCATGATTACAGTGGAGTCGTCTACGATGATCATCACTCAGAGAAAACTCGGAGAAAGCGAGGATCCCTGTTCTTCAGAAAGAAAAAGGTATATTTCAGTAGTCAAGACTTGAAAGGAGCAAGTTGAGTCAATTCTTGGGTTGATTTTTCGGAAATATCCCTGCAGGTGGGGGAGATGGCGAATTTTTTGGTGAAATTTTTTTATTCCTCTCGATCCTCCGGGCAGAAGAGGCATAAAGCAAAATTTTTCTGTCTCCCTTGGCTTCGTGATATTGCCCTTTTTACCATGTCACTGCAGATTTTATTTAATGGATTTATCATTGTGTTTTATCAGAGAATGAACGTTCGTTTGAAGAGTATTTTTAGACCCTTTGTGCCTTGTGGATGAGGGATTCATCAATATTATTTTTTCCATCGTGTTTTGTCTTTCCTCATCGATCCGTTAGAAATTTTTTCACTGCTTATTTTGTTTTGACTTCTATTCGTTTATTCATTTATTGAATTCTGCTGCAGGATAAGAGTGGAAAGAAGCCTAGTCAGACTCATCACTGGGTGGCAATGACTGTCCAAGGGAATTACATTTGTGATTATTGCATGAAACAGTTTGGAAATAAATCAGTTCTCCTCTGCGAAAGTAAGTATTCAGGATTGGTTAAGAATCAATTATTAATATTTTTTCTCGGATAATTTAATCAATTGTTGGATTAATTATTGATGCAATAGGCTGTGGAGTTATGGTACATCAGAATCAATCGTGCAAGGATCAGATGCCGAATGAGTGTGTCAAGCCGAAAAATAATTCCCACAAGGGTTCTACAAAGTCAATGTCGAGTGTATCAATAGTGACGAGCAGTGGACACGTAAAAAGAGGCTCCACAGTATCATTACCTCCATCAACATCAACCGGTCCAAACAGGTGAGTCTCTTACATCAAATTCAACAATTCATTGATTTTTTTGATAATTATAGTAATATAATTAATATATTGCATCGAGTCTTCGTGTTTATGGTCCAAGTCTCGCACGCTGCCGACGCACGACCGGATGGATCTCGCAGTTTTATTTTCAAAATTACTACAAAGTACAAAGTAAAATAATTCAAGAAATCGAAAAATAATGAGAGATTCAATAATTACTCCGAGATTCAGACTGGTCCAGGAGCTTGTTAAAACCAATATTAATTTTACCAATTATTGCAACATGAGATTAATAGAACGATCAATACTTACATAATTATTTATTAATTTATTAATCGTCCTTGTGTAGTTGCGTGTAGCCAGGTCGATGGTGCTTTGAAATATCGCGTTACTCAAACAATTCAAATCACAACTCATTATTTTTTTTACATATTAATTTAAAAAAATAGGCAATAGATTAACGCGTACAACGGCAATACCAGGAATATGGAACTTGCATGAAGCTTTTTGCATAAAAAAAAAAATTCGTGCGAGTTCCTCGTTGAGTGGAATTGAATGAGTGAAAAAATAAATTGCTGGGGAGGGGAAAAAATGTCGGTACCAAAAAGATAACGAGAGAAAAATAAAATGCGTAAAGTTGCGCTAATGCAGTGTGTGCTTTCTCCTTCCTCGTGCATTCCCTCCCGATTGCCAACTGTATTCGATATCAACGATAAAAGGGAAATAACCAACAAGAAAACGGTGACAAACTACAGCCCTTGGCGACGTGTCGCCACTAAACTTGGAGTCAAGTAAGTCGTCCCAGAATAATAATCACGAAATTGTGTCTATTCTCGTTATATTTATTTTTTCTCTTGTCAGTGTATTGATTCTTATCCATCACGCAAATGTTCGTCCAGTGTTCTACGATGGGACGTCAATGAATTCAATCAACTTCTCGTGGAATTGGTGTTTCCAGTTTATTTGTTTTTCATTATATTTTGTTGTTGAAGGAAATTGGAGCTGATTATCCGGAGGTTTATTCACATTACTCCCGCAGATACCATCCTAAAATTGTCAGACTAAATTCTCTCGTCACTTTCCTTCGACAACGGATTCACTTTGTCATCTAGAATTGGCACTAGATGGTTTTATTCATTGATTGAAACGATATGAGACACACGCCATTGCCCTGCCTGAGCTTAAAACACCTGCTTGTCTCGTTTATCTGTTATGATTCCGCTGTTATATTATTTCCATTACTCGTTCAATACTTCAGGTGCATGGAGAAAAGAATTGGATAGAAATTGACATGCCACTCATGTAATCTTGATGTCTACAGCGATTTCTAGATCTTTTTCATACGATATTGGAGCAAAAAAAATGAGGAATGATTTTTTGAAATTGAAAATTTCATAGAATCATCCATAATTATCCCCAGGGATTGCCGGTCGATTTTGTACGATATTTTTTAAAAAACAATTCCACCTCTCTGATAATTTTTACTCAACTTTTTTTCTCCATGTTATCAACGATCCGTTGCATACGACCGATTTAGTCCCAGGAGAATAACGGCTTTGCTTTGCTTAATCCGTGTACTTTTCAATTTCTCAATTTTATGTAATTCTTTTCCCCTAAGATAGACGAATTTTTCCTGTCATACCGTATGCGAACACCGATGGGGCGTGTGTTGTCTAAACAATTGATATTATCTTGACGAAAAAGAGTGAAAAGTGGATTTATCCAACGAAAATGAAAAAATTGTGAATAGAAATTCACGTGGGTGAATGATTTGTAGAAACCAAGGCACCGAGTCAATTATTTTTTTATGGAAATTCGAATGTGTTTTGTAGAGGCGAGAGAATATTCATGCCGAGAGTTTTTGTTTACAGCCAATCGATTAGCGAGGAGAAAGACGGAGAGGGACAACGTGAAATTGTCAGGTAATTTAATTGTTCCTAAAGATTACATCAATATTGAAAGCTTGTGGCAGACAATTTGGTGATGGAGTTGACCTTTACGTGATATTTTCCTTGGTATTTGAAAATCTCTGACTCAGCAGTAAAAAAAAAACATAAAATTTCCAGAACGAAATACGATAATATATAATATAAATAAAAAATTCTTGAACCAATATCTGCACTTCTGCAAGTCCCTTGAAAATTCTTGGAATGATTCCCGACGATTTCCTTTCAGTGCGTGGGAGGAGTTCGACTTCGGTGAGGAGGTGCACCAGCTGTCAGTGGGTGACATCGAGGGTTTGGATCCAGAGCTCGGTCTTGGTGGTGACGAGCCGGACTCCTGGAGTGCAGCAATCGGTCGTAGCGATGCTCTGCGTCTTGTAAATGGCAATGATCGTGAAGTTAAACGGCAAGAGCACATCTACGAATTTGTTCTTACAGAGAAGCACCACTGCCTGGTGCTCCTAGCAATGGAGAGAATATTTGCGGAGGGTCTTCGTCGTTATTTCCGCCTGACGCCCCCGGATCTCGAGCGAATGTTTCCCCGTCTGCGAGACCTCATCGACATCCACTTGAAATTTCTCCTAAAATTACGGAAAAGACAGAGGGCAAATCTGGTGGTCCCCACAATTTCGGACATCCTCGTTGATCAATTCTCCTTCGAGACCTCCACCCGAATGAAAAGCGCCTACGGAGAATTTTGCAGTCGTCACAGGGACGCTGTTGATTCGTACAAATATTACCTGCGCAATGATCCACGTTTTTCTCGTTTTGTCCGCCAGTGTCAGACGAATCCCCTCCTCAAGAAGAAAGGAATCCCCGAGTGCATACTCTTCGTTACCCAACGTCTGACAAAGTATCCACTCCTGGTGGAGCCCCTCATCAAAACATCAACGACGAACGACGAGAGGGGCGATTTACGCAAAGCCCTGGGTCTCGTCAAGGAGATTCTCGCTGACGTTGACGCTTGCGTTGCAAACAAAGAGCGTGAAGATCGAAAACTTGAGATTTACAATCGAATCGATGCCAAGTCATCGGCCACCCATCGAGATGCTAAATTCAAGAAATCCGATCTGATGGCTTCCAACCGTGTCCTCAAATTCGAGGGCAATGCCTACCTCATGCAGGGCCGGGGCAAAATGGCATCAGTCGTTGTTGTTGTCCTCTCCGATGTTCTATTTTTCTTAAATGAAACACGAGATCAGAAGTATGCGTTCTTTGTACCTGAGAATAAAGCGGGTGTTGTGTCTCTGCAGAAGCTTCTGGTTCGTGAGAAAGCGGGTCAGGAGTCACGGGGAATTTATCTGATCAGCAGTAATCCAAAGGAGCCAGAGATGTTTGAGCTGAAGGTGCAGAAACCCAAGGACAAGCAGATTTGGATACAATCGATCAGGGCAGCGGTGGAGGCTTGCCCCCAGGACAACGATTGCGAAAGCGATGGATTTGATCGTGGTGCTATTGCCAGTGATATATCACGATCCGGGAGCTCAGCATCGTCGATGCTGACGGTCGACGAACGCCAGAGAATTGCAAAAGCCAAGGAGAATCATATCCTCGGGATCGTTGGAGAATTGAGAAAAAAGGATACTGAACAGGCACTTTTACTCGAGGAGAAGCTTGCACTGCAGATGCGACTGCTGTATGCAGCAAGTGTTTGCAGTGATAATGATAATGAGAGTGAGACGAGGGAGAGAGAGAGATCTGAAAGGTGTGAGAAGGACGTGGATTACACGAGATTAGTGAGAAACGAGGGTACAGATTCAGCACAACTTTGGCAGGAGGTTGTGGTTGCTGTGAGAGAAGTTACGAAACTGGCGAGTTCATTGTCTTTCAGTGCTGGTGGTGGTTCACTGTCGAGGAGCTTGAGTTCAGCTGGTGAACGACACAGTGAGGCTTATGTACCACCAGCTCTGTGCGTACCCAGGAGAGCCGAGACATTCGCTGGTTTTGATCACAACAAGGAGAGATATCCCTGGAGGGATTCAGCTGCACTGCACTCGGTTATGTCACCACCTAAGGCGTGTGATCTGCTCAAAGGAAGGGATAAAATTGACAGGCCTGACGACGAGGGGCACGATATCAATAAGGATCAGCAGTTGGTTGCAATCAGACTATCTCATTACGTGTACACACTTTTATGCATAATAAGTAATCAGATGACGACAATAGACAGTCTTCAGGCGCAGTTGAGTGCCTCGAAGGATTGGTGTGGTACGTCAGCAGGTGGTAAATCATCGAGCCAGAATAGACCCAACTCGAATCGTCAGCTTGAGGAGCTCAGAAATCTCCAGGATCAGTTGAGTCGAGAGAAGGCTGCATTCAGAGCTATGACACAGCAGGAAAAGATGCAGATGCAGGAGGAGAGGAATGAGCTATCGAGGCTCAGGGAGCAGTTGGCTGCTGAGCAGAGGGATGTAACACAGCAGAGGGATCAGTTGTATCGAAGGCTGGAGGCTTTGGAGAGACAAGGGGTCTCTCTTGTCGCGCCATCAACAGCTAATCCCTCAGCTGCAGGCCATGGGCATTCCTCTCACACCTCCCACTCCTCTCATTTATCTCATGGCTCACAAGGTGACACACTCCTCCAGAGAAAATCCCTGCCTGATGCCAAGAGAATACCCCTGAACCTCATCAGTGCCACCAATCAGCAAAAAGCATCCAGTATTCCACCAGTTAAGCAACAACTCCCTCTCAAACTTGCCAGTGGCAGCAACAACAATACCACCAGACACAGCACTGGCACCAACAACAGCCCAGACAGACACTCGAGGACATCGAGCAGTCCTGCAGCTGTCACATCATCCACCTACTCGTCAGAGCTTGGCAATCACAATAATGGCAATACCTGTCAGCTTAATCGATCGCTGAGGATCAATAAATCACCAACCGAATCATTTCATCATCTCCATCATTCACAATCTCACTCACAAACCCACTCTCATCATCAGGGACATCAGCGAGGTGATGTGCAACCACAGGGACATCAGCAGAAAGCTGAGCCTCAACCACCGCTCGAGGAGGAGGTTATCTTCTTCTGACGACTCTTTCGATTTGGCCGAAAATCGACGCGTCCACCTAGAGCTGTTGACACACCAACTTCCTCAGGTACTCCTGTCTCCACTCCAACACCCACCCGCAGTCAGTCCAAGGACTCGCAGAGCAGGAGTCGTGTCAAGTCATTTTGACTTTCAGATTGAGAATGGTGAGGTATTTAACAACCGAATTCAATAGAGTATTTCAATCGAGTATTAGGAGACCACGTGGTCGCAGTAAATTAGTGCTCATCTTGTTGCTTAAACCGTTAATATTGTTGAAGAAAATGATGAAATCGACTGAAAGTTCTATTATATTAACGTTTTCACGTATTGCAACGTCAATATCCACGTATGAATTCATTACTGGGATTATTTTCTTCGGAGATGGTGTAGGTGATCACTCGATTCACAAGAATTCCCGGAAAAACTGAGGATAAATTGTGTGTATGTGGTTTTTTCATTATTTGAGGACATGCTCATTCTCCAGAATGATTGTATAACGATTTTTGTATATAATGACGCAGTGTGCATTAATTTCAGGTGATTAGGACTTTTTTGGGGGACATATGATGATTTTGTGGAGAAGCAGCATCAAGTCAGTTCGATTTGATGTTGATTATTTGACTTGGGGGTGTGGAAACACCGGTGGATCATTATTTTTGAAAATGTGAGACAGTATTAATGCAATGCACACTGCTTATTAGTGAGGCACTCTTGATTATGTGGAAAATGCCCACCTGAGGTGATTATTTTTCAGTTGTTCTATGTTTAATTAATGGTTAAACGATGCATTTAATGAAAAGACTTAATATTATTGACAATCGAATCTCATCCGGCAATTAAGAGTTTTGTCGTATTTCAATTTTAATGAGTGTCTCACGGTTTAAGTAATCAATCAGTATCTGTAGACTTTTCGTAATGAATTTATCGCACGTTGTAGATGTGCGAAAAAATAATAGATGACTTTTCTTTACTGGTACTTTAATACGGAAAATCATTAGGAGAACATTCATCAGAGATTGATGAGGACAGTCTGATGAGGGCAATTGTGCCTCGAATTTTATTTTAGTTCGGATTATACAGTTTTGTTTAAGGCAAGATTCAACATTCCTTTCGCATTTATTATCATATCATTCCGACATTTTATTTAGGAATTTCATTGGAAAATGAAGAAAAGGCTGGATTATCCACTGCCATTGTTGTTATTTGACAATTTTTCTTTTAAAATTGACACACAAAAAATTGTACGAGATTTGTTGAAATAATTGTTTTTTGATAATTGAAAATTAAGGAATTTGAGGGATTAATTGCATCAGTTGGAAATATCTGGGGATTTTTCTACTCTTGGCCTCGATATATTTCCAAATTGCATTTCTCTGTTCCATTGAATGAAAAAAAAAATTGTTTGTCTCCTTGACGCATTGTCATCGAAATGATTTGGTGATACGTTAGTCAACGTGCCAGTGTGCAATATCAATAAAAAGATTATTTAGAAACTCGAGAGGTGGGGAGAGAACTTAAAGATGAACTAAACGATGAGAATTCAATTGCTACAATAAAATGAAGAAGCGAAACCAATTCAGTAGCGAGGAGGCAAGGGGCGAGTTGATTTTGATAATACGTATCTTTTCAGGGAGTCTAAGGGAGTTGAGGAAATTTGGGAAAGAATCTCTTTGTAGATCTTATTCTAGTCCACAAAAGAATTCAGAGATAATCCCGAAAGTCCGACTGGGGAAAACGTCGACACGTCACTTGTTCGATTTAGCTAATAATTAAATTTTTGAATTTTTAGTTTATCCCTGAATCTAAGGGGGATTGAAAAATATTTGTTATGACCTTTTTTGTAGATTTCATTCAACTCTACAAATGAGTATCTGATAAAATTTTCGCTATCCCTCTTGGATTTCGAGATATTTTTCGAAAATAATTTCTCAAAAACGACTGAAAGCTCAACTTTTCATTCTTACATCTTCGGTACTGAATTGTTAATTGACATTATCCGCAAATCAATCGTGATGACAATAGAAAATACGGTTATACAGTAATCAATCGGTTGATGAAAACCCATTATGTATGGTGATATGATGGAAGAATGAAAGTCAAGTGGAAAAGTGGAAAAGTGAAAAACTGATGAACCACTTTGTCAAGATAAATGATGAAAATAATTGTGAAAATAAAGCTCGTTGTTAACTCGCAATGTTGTGTGCACGTGAAGACATCCAAGTTCGTTAATAAATAAATAAAAATAACAGCATTTAATGATTACTAATTCGTAAGTTTCGGGAGTAAGATGTAATACTGATTAATTCAGCTAGACAGGGCGTCATATTTGACTAGATAATATTTAGCCCGATAAATTGTAAAATAATTCATAATTATTCATAATGAGAGATGAATCATTCCAGTTTTAATTAGCTCAAGGCTAATCTCTCTTGCGCTCATTGAGGACTTCGAATGAATTTCCATCAGTCGCTTCATTATTTTCTATTCTGTAAATCTTTTAAACTTGAAAATACTGTGTTATGTCACGACTGAGTGACCAAATGACGTTTGATATGTCGTCCTTTTATTCTACTATTGTTATGTGAGGAAAATGAGGCGGGAGAAAACATAAAATTTGATGGAAAGTGGTAAAAAGTCATCAGTCGATTGTATTTAGTGATTCGATTTATTCAAAAAGTTATTCCATTCGATATTTATCGCAGAAACTTATCGGTGTGGGGAATTTCTATTCACTCGGATGAAAATTTCACTGGTATTGACATTTTATCACTTTCCACTGCAAATATATTATATATAAATAAAAATTCCTGAAACATGACATAAAATGTCGAAAACTGTTGACTTGATATCGAGTTCTATCGGCCTAGCTCTGTTCAACTCTTCATTAAAATATCCGTTGGACTGGATTTCACTTGGAACAATCGTCGCATTCTCTGGGAAAGATGACAGATAATAATTATGTAAAAAAAAAAGAGAATAATAGCATTGAGCATTGAAAGATTAATTAGAACGGAGTTATGTGAATGGATATTTCACGAATCAAGTATTTTTGTACGTTTACCTGTACTTTTCAAAAATGAAAAAAAAATGGAGACAAAAAGTAATAGCTGATACTTGTATCTATTGTTATTGTGATAATGGAGAAATCGATAATCACCCTTTGCTTGAATTTTTTAATCTCCATAATTATTAAGATAATTGAATGTGTGGGTGGTTAATTCATACAGCAGAAGAGAAATTCTTGAAATCCACTGCACCACCTGTTAATCTTCAATTTTTAATCCTCACGTTTAATTCCTTGATTAATTCGCGTACTGCATGTTCGAAAATCTCGATTGATTAAAGAAAAATATTCAATTCCCACACGAGACTGGAAGTTTTTTCTACGAATAATTTAATTGCCTTTATTTTTTCTCTTCAGACTTATTGTAGAACTCCTTGATCCCTAATCTTCGAGAATTATCTATTGATTACATGTAATACCGATTGTTTCGTCATGCTCAGTGTTGGTGAACTTTTCTTCTTCCAATTTTTATACAAAAAAAAACAAAGTAATGAAAAAAAAAACAATAATCCAATGATATACAATTGAACCTGCACCGATAATGCAGTTTTGTAATATTTATTCCTGTTGAATCGTGTATAATGTTAAATCTAAACAAAAACTAATGCAAACGCGAGCGAAAAAATTTTATCGAAAAATCTGGCGAATTGTTTAAAAAGTCTACGGATTTCTAATAAATTTTTTATTAGGTCTCAGTCAATTCTATTGGAAAGTTCGATTTTTTTTATAACTTATTCACTCCAGATATTTTCTGTGGAATTTCCTCGTTTCAAATTTTTGATTTTCAAAAACGATCTTCATTCTATTTTTCTTAATCCTCCCAAAAAAGTCAAGCAAAAAAAAATATTGAAAATTTGAATCGATGGAGTTCTGGAAAAAAAAACCATGGATTGTTTTTATCGAATATTTTTTATTCAATATTCTGATAAAATCGACCACGAAATTACAGAATAATTCTAAAAAATCCAGATAACTCCAGTAGAATTTTCTAACAATCGGGCAAGGGCTTTCAATAAAATATTTTCCATTCGCAAAATCACTGGTCGAGGTAATAAAAATGTTGAAGGCTATTCTTAAAGATAAACCTCGACGATTCAATCGTATCCACTGTGCGAAACACTCAGAGTAATGTTTAATTGAATATTAATTAATTCAAATGAAATGAAGAGATGTCTGTAATCTCGAGTACCGTTTACAGCTAACGGTTGCGCTATATTTTCTAATGGACTTACTACTTTTTCTTATATTCCTTGTAAACCATTCGATGACTGGGAGATTTACAAAAAAAAAATACCTAAAAGACACTACTTGAAGACATTCTATGTTTTTTATCATTATATTGTATCATCCACTGATTCATCGAAGAATAATTAGCTGCCTGAAGACAAAAAAAGATAATATTTATTATTAATGTACATAAGACAACGGAAAAATGATGTTATTGTAATAAAATGGAATCAAGAGGGTAATATACGATTAACTAAATCTTCACAGAAGGCTTTCGTCCCCTTGTCATCGTTTTATTTATTTTCACTGGTGGTGTTGAATTTTTTAGATAGAAAAAGGTATTTCTATTAAAAAATCACTGATTTAATATTTAATCACCATTTATTTATTATAAATTTAATGAGAAAAATAGAAAATATTGTACATTATTTGGATCCGCCCCGCGGCAAGAATTTCAGTTTTTCTTTTCGTTAAAAAAAATTAATATGGTTTCGTTCGATGCTTGTCTCGACCATTGGATTTTCCAGTGGACTTCATGAGAGATTTGCGTTCTCCATTTGCTTGGAGGCAATTTGTATCGTTTTGTTTCCACAGGTTGATTATTCCACCCTCGCCACCAGTTATTAACCAGCCACTTTTTGCATGATACCAGCTGTCTCGGACTAGCTGCTTGTTGCCAGTGAAATCCGAGCACCACTTCATGCCCTCAGAAGTGACAGTCAATCCATGTAAATGGTCCCCTTTAACTGTGGAACCTGTGAGAAGAAAAGGATCCTCGGAGCTGGCACTCCTGTGCACCCTCACGAGATAACAGCTGTCTGGATTTTCATTCATAAAATTAGCTGCGATGCTGGTACGATCGTATTTTCCATAAGGCGTTGCATCCTCGCACTCCCAGAGCTGAAGACAATGCGTGTGCGTCGTGCACCAGATGTGGTCGTCTTCCAACCACCCCAGCCTGTCCACTGACGATTCAGTATTGAGTGAGTAAGTCAGAGCGGAATCCTCTGTGGGCATCTTGAGATCGAAAACATTGATGAGACCATCGGTGCTGCCAGAGGCCAATGTATTTGCTTTTGCGGGATGAAATGCCAGAGACGTCACGTCGTCCATGTGGGACTCCCAGTATCCACCAAGCAAATCATTCTTTCTGCTTTCTGACCTGGAATTGTTGACACTGCTGCACCTTATGTCCCAGAAGAGGATGAAGGCATCTCCACCAACATGTTCAGTACCAGCTGCTATTAATTTGTCGTCGGAGCTGATGTCGAAACTTGCAAGGGGCTTCAATTTCCCATCCATTGGTCCATCTGCGATGGAAAAAAATAATAAACACCTCAATACACATTCGAAAAAAAAATCAGCTACAGCAATTTTTTTTATATTTCCAATAATCGATATAATCAATCGTTAATTAAGAAACCGTAGAGTAAAATTCAATCATTTCGTCAATTGATGATCAATTATACCTGTCATATCAGCTACAACTTTTCCCTTCGCCCGAAGATCACAAGCTGTAATGTGGCCATCCCTCGTCGCCGTGTACAGAATGTTCTTTGAACTTGGGCTGAATTTAATTCCAACAATTGGCGACGTGTTGTGGCTCAAAGTCGCTATTTTACTCAAACCCTCATTAACATTGTAAACAATGCACGAGTAATCAGACAATCCCGCGCAAAACCTGAACTCTGGTTCACTGAAACCGAAAAAAATATAAAAAATATGTAGCCCCTTTTGGGGGTAAGTTTTAATTACTTCATCATCATTTTAAATGAGTATTTAAATTAAATGTAATCAAAATAGATTTTCATCGTCAATGAAGACAAAGAAGAAATGGAAAAAAATTGAGAAAATTTGCTGGAAGGACTGGAGAACATGTGAGTCGTATTTTCATTTTTTTCTCGATGGAATTTTCGAGGAGAACTCACTGCTGAGTGCCACACAGGGCGAGGACGTAGTTGTCTTCTCCTGGGCATGAATCCTCCATTGACACTATCATTTCGGACCGGTTTATCAGTTGACTTTTATCGTTATCACTCGTGTTGTGTGATTCACTGTTGCCATTTCTCTTCCGCGTCGACTCCACGACTCTCGGCATTTTTTATGGGAGTTTTTTTAATGGAAATTTTTACTTTTGGTTTATTGCAGATTTGGGGAAGAACGCCATGCGCTCGTATTTATGATTTTTCAAACAATATGGACATTTTTTGGGGTTAGGGTTGACCGAGAGCGCGGGAAATTTAATTATTTATCTGTCTATGATATTCAGGGAGAGGAATAATTCAATATGAATTACTTTACTCTTCTGCAATTGAGGGGGGGATTTTTTTTTCCATGTGGAATCCCTCGTGGGGGAAATTGAAAAAAAGTAGAATTTCTGGTTTGCACCATTGTAAGGTGATATATCTGATATTTGAGAACAGTCGCATGAGTGGCCTCGGAGAGCCTTCACTTATCCATTTATATTATAGGCCAGTGACCGTTAATGTCTGTTGAGTTACGTGACGTGATAGTGGAATATTACGGATTGTTATAAATTGGGTTTGATTTTTGGGGAGTAATATTTTTGGAAGACATGGGAAAACCTCAGGAGGGAGGAGAGCGGGCTTCGGAGGTGGAGCGAATTGTGAAAATTGAAGAAGCTCATACACTGGCATTTTATGTTAATGGGCGGGAGGTAATTGATAATGAGGTCGATCCGGAATGGACTCTGCTGCACTATCTTCGAACAAAATTGCATTTAACGGGCACTAAACTGGGATGTGCGGAGGGAGGTTGCGGAGCATGTACGGTAATGCTATCGAAATTTGATCGTCAGAGACGAAAAATTATCCACCTAGCAATCAATGCTTGTCTGGCGCCGATCTGCAGTGTCCATGGGACATCGATAACAACCGTTGAAGGCATAGGTAGCACTAGAACTACTTTGCATCCCATTCAGGAGCGGCTGGCAAAGGCTCACGGTTCACAATGTGGCTTCTGCACCCCGGGGATCATTATGTCGATGTACGCCCTGCTGAGATCGAAGCCCAAACCCTCGATGAAAGATCTGGAGGTGACATTTCAGGGGAATCTCTGCAGGTGCACAGGA